ACGGTGGGTGTTGTCGGTGAGAATCCTTAGTGTTCGCTCGGATTTCTGGATCAGAGTGGAGCCGGCCGGGCTGTTTCAGACTATACCAGACACGCTTGTCCGCTGGGACATCGTACCGTGTAATATACTATCGTATCTTGTATCACCAGATCCATGATACCTTCCATCATGAGACCAGCTCCCGCTTGATCACCGCTCCATGTTGGAGTAGAGACACGATAAGGAAGTCGAGCGCTAATCATCGACTGATTCAAAGAAGAATTGCTGGTAGAAGACACACACTTGGTGTTATCCACCTTTGTTCGACTTTGTTGCTTGCAGAGCGCATGAATCAAAGTAATCACTGAAGTCGCTGTATTTTTAGATGAGCTTTTATACCTGAAATGGGCAGCCTACCTTCACTCCTCGGGGGGCTCGGAATGAGCTGGAAATGGCTTGTACTACGTTGTATTTCGACTCAGCACAAACTTTCAGCATTGATTGCCACTCTTTACGACATTGACACATTGCTAAGTGTAGTGACGCAGTCGAGACAAGACCATCGTCTGCGCCACCAATTAGTCCTTGCTCGTCATGACCACATCATGAACCTGTGGAAAAGCGTTGCTTTAATAAGTTGACAATGTCGTTGTTGACTGGGGACTGACTGAAGGGGATACCAAGGCATTTGACTGACTCAGCTCGAGCGTGCACATGTACTCCAGGATGCTGAGGGCAGATCCTGTTCTGATAAGGTGCCATCATATTTGACTCAGCAAGATTGACTTTCGCACCAGACCCCTTGCAGCACTCTTCCATGAGCTTCAGTAGATCTTGATTTCTCGTGATTGTGCCTACTAGGAGAGCCGTGTCGTCTGCGAAAAAGACATCGGTGAGTGTGTAATCCTCATTGACGCACACTCCAAACTCGTTATGGAATCGAAAAAGGTTGTCAAGGAATTCAATGGTGGGTATGACAAGAATATCAGAAAGCGTTCCTACTTGTTCACTCTCCTTGTAGGGTCCAACGCTGGCTGGATGTTCTGGTTGATGACAAGGTAGACTTGTGGATCGGTGTATAGCAGTCTTACTTTTTGTACATACTTTAAACCACAACCCATTTGACCGAGCACTCGGAACATACTGTTCCAGTCAACATGATCAAAACTCGATCAAACGTCTAAATTCCTAGGAAAAGATCTTCGTCTTGAGCTGTCATTAGTTTTTGTTGACCTGCGAGGATCCGAACGCGGTGGTAAATTGAGCATTTTTTGACATATATCTTTTGATTCGGGTGAATCAGTCTGGAAATGATTTGTTGCAGTCGGTATGTCAGCGCTTTGGACAGCACCTTGACATCTATCAGAATCAGTGCAATGGGTCGGTAGTGCTCCGGACTTCTTGTTGTGGAAAAGCACGATGTCATACTTGCGCTGAGACGGAATCAGAATCTCGCGTTGAAGCTAATCGACACTCAAACATTTGCACAACACGTCTAGTGGCACCAGGTAAGAATCAATAGTTAGTTCATACTAGGAGCCGAAGCCGCCATCATAGGTCCTACCGCACTAACAAGGTCAAGGTGCCGCAAGTACATTTGAAATGTCTCTAACCATCTCTAATGCGACCCGTACGATAAAGTCGATAAGATTGTGTTGCATGACTTCGTCAGGTGGATGATGCCTGGATCTTATATCTCAGGTTCCAAGCAAAGCGGTATCTCTTGGAGACTCGATGAGAAATTGTCACTCGGTGTGATTACCTCCTCGACTGAGGCCTTTCTCAAAGAGTGGACGAAATGAGGGCTTGTTGTGATCTTTTGGAGCTGATCGTTAGGAAATTGGATGCAGTGTTCTGGTTGTACTGGCGCTTTTGTAGTTCCTCACGGCTTCATCATAGAGCTTGTGTCGAAATTGTTCGACGACACGCGGTGTGGCAGGGTATTGGCGACGGTATGTGTGTCTTGCATCCAAAGCTTATCTGCAACTCTTGCAACTGATACTTGATTTCCTTCTTTCACTTCATACGGTTATTCCTAGGGAATGTGATTGATCACGGATCATATCTGCATTTTATCTATCGAAGGAACTACCATTGGGTATTAAAGAAGATAGCGTGGACACTTTGATACCTTTGCCATGTAGCTGAGACGTAAGATTCACACTATGAGAGCGGTGATCGCCAGCATGTTTCGGCCGAAAATATTTGAAGTCATGGTAGAAGCATCTTAATGTACAAGATTATGTCCAAACGGTTTTTTCTAGGACGTTAGCCTGTTAAGACTCCGCTGAGTCGTATTGGCTTCACCAAGCATCGACAACGTCCAGTTTGTCGCTCCACCAAGCAGCTGGATCGACCGGGGTCGAAGCTCAGGTCAGGAGACGATGAGTCGAGTTTGGGATCCAGAGGAGTGTTGAGAGCACCCAACACCATGTGTGTCGCCTGATCTCAGTCTCTAGTCTTTAAAAGGATTGGTGCTCCTCCTGGTGGTCTACAGATGCATACACGTTGTGGTGTAGATCGAAAAATTTACAACCATCACCTTCACAACGATATACCGACCAAGCACGGACAGCTTAGAAACCTCATCCGCTGTGTTGAAGCCTGGGAAATCGGAACGAAGCATCTTGTGTATTCCATTGAGTCTTTCTTGCGTTGGTTAAACAAGATGGCTTTCGGAATCGCCCACGAAAATTTGCGCTTGAAGCTTGAGTTGAGTGGAAACTTGAAACTGAGCAGATGTGTTCAGTTCTGAAATGGCCTTTTGCATACATGCCACCGACTGTTTTGACAGCATGTCGATAAATAAATACCCGTTCTTTTTACTGCCACTAGGGTTGACGGTCACGACACTCATGTTGTTTCAGGTTACGTTTTATGAGGATGGTTAAGTAGCGAGTAGCCAAACCATGCAAGAGCATGAGGAGAGTAGGGGTCGTGTGCACACAGGAACCCTCTTCAATGGCTAAGTAGTGAGTTGCTGTTTCCAGTGATCGTTTAGGAATATCGTTGGCGCAATCGACATCAGCGTAAGCCAAACAACCCAAGTCCCTTCGTCGCTCGAGGAAGATAAGATGGCCTCCATCACTCAGCACACGGCTTGAACAGCTCTGCACTCGTCGATGGGACTGCATTCTTTATTGCGTCGTCTGCTTTGCACTAAATCTGATATCTTCGCTCGGCTTGAATGCACTTAGCACACCGTAAATCACGTGTAGCTGCGCAAGCTCTGCAACGATCTAGCCATCTTGAGCATAATAGCACTTCTGAAAGCCAGCGGGGAGTCCACTGAAATGTTCACGATTTGCTACGTTGTCATTGACCATCGATATGAGTGTCAGCTCGAGAAAGATAGTCATGGAGAACATTGAGCAGGTCTGTGTTCTCATCGTTTTAAATCAATTTGAACAATTCTAAGATTGTCAACGCTTTTGAAATTCCTTGACTTTTGTGGTACTCTCGACGAAGAAAGCCGATTTAGTCGATATGTCAATTCCCTTTGAACGCTTCTCATCGATTGGTAGCAACTTTTTCTTCGTGTCCACCTTTTTTACTTTGCTAGAGACTTCCATCGACTGCAGCACCTGAAAGTAATTAATGGTGGAAACATCGTTTGGTAGATGTGTCACCAGCATGTTGGAAAAATTGATTTTGTATATCGAGCGCTTTATCTTGTAATTCCTTCTGCAGCGGGGTTTCGCATTTGTAACCAAAGCATAAATTTTTGGTGGTTGCTGTCGTTGCTGCTGGGATCGCTCGGGGATTGACTTCTTGGAAAAGAAACTCACTCGCCAAAGTCCCAAGAATAATTTCATGATGCGAACGATAAACATATTTATGGCGCTCAAATCGGAATGGAGCATTCTTTCCATGCGCCAGATTAAGTGTGTTGTCAAACAACGCTTGATCACACGCAGACACGTGCAAAATTAACGCGCTTGGACACGAGCTGGACATGAAAGATACTCCCCAAACTGCCGCCATTATCCAAGTCGGAAGGGTGACCTCATGAAAGTTATCGATACATCGAAACCGACGTTGGCAGATACTAATTGACAAGGATGTCAAACTCCTTGAACGCAAAGGATCCACCAAAGATATTGAGCTTGGCGCGTTACAGCTTCAAGCGGACCCCTTTTGTCTTCGCTTTAACGCGAAGATGAGCAACTGGAAGCTTTAGATTTGAACACATTATACTTGGCGGTCGGGAGCTGATATAGTCGCGCTTGCGTCATTCGTGACACAATGTATGGTCAGTCGACCCCGACAGCGTATTGGTCTCAGTGTCGACGGCGAACGGCTTTGGAGTTTCCACGCGACGGCGAGCAGCATCATTAGCCACCTTATCGCGACGTTTTTTTTCTTCAAGACGAAGGACTCCACCATGCTCATGCGCAGGACCCGGTTCTAGCAAGGGAGGCAGCATCGGAGCATCACCAGAGCTTTGGCGTTCGACCCGCTCGTATTCATCGTCGAGTTTATCCGCTCATCCACCATTCCTTTCAACCGACATATGTAGTGACATCTGAGTCGGCTGCTAAAGGATGGTCGATGCTAGCAAAGTCCGTATCCGAGAGCGCCCCACAGCAGTGCCAAAATTTTCAGAGGACATAGCCAACAGTGGTATCAGTTAAGAAACTGGATGCGGGTCTAGGATTAAAAGCTGGTGCGACAGTCGGAATTTGAGAGAAATTTCAGGAAGATTGGTTTTCCATGGAGATGTAGTTTAGTCGTTTCAGCTTTTTCTTTATATCGCTGTTCCCATTGTCATCATGACAATTACGCTTGTCTTTGATATGGGCTTGTGACGCTGACTTGCCGATCCAGAATTTGGATCGTCAAGCGATTCAACAGTGGTTCTCGTAAAAGATCGAATTTATATTCTAGCGCCTTCCGTCCACGTTTATGTTTGTGATCATGTGTAAGAGTTTTTGTTCTGAGCTCACGGAAGCAAATGTGACGGATACGCTAGAAATATATCGAGGTTTCGGTGGTCACATGCTCGAAAAATCAAGGGTCACATGGCTACACCAACTGAGCGTGAGGAGCTGAAGCGAGGCAATGGAGCTTGGGAGAATATTCAGGTCAAAAGCAAATGATAACGTAGTCGTAATTGTTATGACAATGACATTTTGATCAGGAGGTGTTGCGCTTTGGTTTGAGAAGCTTGTGGGAAGCTATCACTGGTGTCGATGGTCGAGTTACGGTACTAGACTATACACCACTTCATATCATACGTTGTCACTAGTATGCTAATGGTATTAGGCTCTAGAAAAGACTCTAGTCGCTCAAAGAAACGACTTGCAACGTCAGCAGCAGCATTTAGAAGATATAGCACATACTTTAAACGTCATGGGTGAGCGGCTTAGAGTGTACGTAAGGATAACGACTTTGTCATTCATCTACGATTTTAGTATTTTGGTAAGTGTGCAGGAGAAGGCAGCAGGAGAGCAAATTGCAATGCGCTTGCAGAATTCAGAATGTCGACTTCAGGGCCAATTTCAAAGATATCGCAATCCAAAAGATGATGTCGACTACGTACCCTTGACCACGTTAGAGCGTCGTGTTTGTCTGTTGGAGGAAGAAATCGAACATATCGTGGTGGCAATTGACCGAAAGGCAGATTTCGAAGTTATGGAAGAGGCGATACGCAAGCACGTGAGCATTTAAAAGTGACATGGTGAAAGCTGCTGTAATACTTATGTTCTTTTTGCTACATTATCTTTTTAGTGTAAAAAAGATGAGCGAGAAATACTCACATTGCAAAAGCGATTTGAGCAACACCGACACGAAGTTGAAAAGGAAGTATCACTATCTATTTCAAATGCACAAGCTGCACAAGAAACGCTCATTCACTCAGCGCTTAAAAACTGGGCGGCAAATACATGGAAATTTGAGCACAACACTGTGCAAGAGATGTTGGCCGAAGAGAACTTGAAGCAAAAGGAGGTCTTAAGTACTATTCACAGTCAGATAAAACTTTGCTGGGGAGCTCTTGAAGCCCAACAAAAGCGAATGACTGACGTTTGTGTAGATATTAATAAGCAAGTTCATGATATTCTAGCAGCTGATCGAAAGGAGATTGCTGTACTGTGTAGTGAGGCTCACGGCCGAATCGATTTCCAGTTTCGAGCCCAGGAAAAAGGACTGGAGAAGGTTCAACATGAGCAACACAAACTGCGTGAAGATGTGACTCAAATTTTTGACATGAGAATACGACAAATTGCAACTGGAAACGCTGCTGCTGTTGAGGCACTTAATCGTCGAGTATTTGACCGGCAGCTTCAGGAATTAAGTACGATGCGTTGTCAGATTGTTGAAGAGGTTCAACTTACGGTCGCCAGTACTTTGAATGCTTTAAAATCTACGAAAGACAGAGAGCAACGCAAAGTTAGACATCATCAAAACCTTATCGAACGCAAATTAGCCGAACTCGAGCAGATGATGCAACTCATTGGACGACAGTCAATTCGAAACATCCCACAGCTTCAGGTGGTGCGCAACGAGCAATTGGAACACGCTGTCACTACTCACATACACAATGAAGATGAAGATAACGAAGACGCTTTCTTGTTTGAAGATAAAAATGGAGCTGAACACACCATTCCCATTCTTGCCCAGGTTCCATCAAGTAATCTTTTGACTACAAACGACTCTCGCCAGAATATCACGGAATTGCTGACAACACGTCGAGTGCAACATCGAGAACTGCAGAAGCAGCTGGACATAAAGTTTAGCGACTATAGTGAAATCTTACGACTGCCCGAGCAACGAGCAAAGGAGAATAAATCAAGCAATGTTCCTTCAACGCAGCCTTAAAGAAGTAAGTACTTTTAATTTTAGTAATGTAGACGTTAATTGTGAACCTGGATCGATGAAACGTCGGTATCGATCTAAAAGGATGAAATGCATTAAAATTTAGCTAAAAGACCCATTCCCAAGGCTGCTTCGATCATCCAGAGATCCCGCCTCTAGTGTACCAGTCCCGCTCGGCAACGATCCGTTGCACCCAACTACGGGCGCTTCTTGTATCGTTGATACTGTCATGACAGCTAATAAATCCACCGAAGGCGGCTTGATATCCATACACAGCGACGTTTCCAAATTCTCCAGAATACCCCAAAGAATCTCTTGCTCTTGATTATAAGTAGGACTGTCTTCATTTCCTCCGTCCAAACGCGAAAGCAATTCATCATTTGACACTTGCGCCTGAATTTGCGGGAGACGAAGTGTTGTGAGCTTCGTTGAAAACTGCTCACCCAACTTCTGCTCGTTGAGCAAATTTTGGGAGGCTGTCACAATTTCTTTCTTGCGCTGCACAGCATGCTCGGCTTCCAGCGGCTCAGGGACTTCACTTATGTCGATAAACGCTTGCGCCGCACTCTCGACTATGGCGCTCAAACGATCATTTTCACTCAACACTCCCTTTCCGGACCACATCCCGCTGGAACGGTTATTGCTTCCTGCACCAAGTTCATTGTGCAAATCCATGTGCTTCTCCAGCTCTAAAAAGTGTTGTAATGACACATCGTCTAGAATACCTGGCACCTGCAGCAATCCATCTACAAATGTTTCGTCATGATGATGACTATTGACAGATTTAATCAATCTCAACACACCGAGGTACTCCTGTAAACTTGCCTGACGCTTCATTAAGAAGTTTGGATCAAATCTGGACGAACAAATTATGTTAATTACACGCAACTTTCACACGACATGATTAAATTTGATCGAATATCATCAGCAATATAGAGTTTTCAGCGCAAACGACGCGTTGAACAAGCATATTTGATAAGAAGAAAGGGACAAAAGTCGAGCTGGGATAGGCAGCTTTTGAACTAGCCTCATCACATTGAAGCTGCAACCATTTGTCCGTCGATACTTGCAGCTTGGCTCTTTACTTCTTTGTCAGATAAGATCAAGTGATTTTAACAGTCTTCGACTTGCACCAAGTCTCCTTGCTTCCTTTTCAACACTAAAAGACACCGCAAGCCGTTTAGCGTGTCAACAGCCATTAGGGAGCTCAACACAGCAGTGAGGTAGTCGAAATGTAAAAGACTGTTCGCCATTCCACCATTGGCTTTCATCCCTTTCTTCTCCCATTGAGTATTGCAAGTCAACAGACTCCGAGAGAGAGTTCCAATTTCATCATTAAACTCGGTTTTTCTTCCAAATAAACGCACCTTCCAAACCACTGTTTCTCAGGTAGCGTCACCTCAATGAGATCTCCAAAGCGCCGCACTAAACGCGAGTGTAGTTGGTCAAAATCGCTGAAACGCCGAGAGATGCGCCACAAGCCGCCGTTGCACGAGATCTACGTTGCATCACAGCTGTTCTGGGCCAATAATTAAAGCTATCTACAGATATACAGCGACTCACCTCAACGATGAACTCTGTGTGATCCCCTACCGTGTCGTAACCCGTAATAAGCGTGCTCACATTTAGCATCGCCATCGTGGTGTCGAATAATGATGGACAAGACCAACTTGATTGATACCTCCTTATTTTACGGAAATTTATGTTCTGTACTCAATTTGATAAAGCTCAACTTCAAAGTGTGACAATAAGCGACGTACAGCAATCTATGTCGCACTACGGGCGAGCAGGTAGTGAGCGCATGACGCTCGTGGTTGACGTTGACCACACCCTTACGAACCTATTGGAATGTGCAGCGGCGTGGCATGAGTCTGAACATGGCTCGAAGGTATAATGAGCTTCGCGATCTTTCAATCAATGTACATGACATCCAACGTAATTTTCTGTGCTATCTGTGCAGATTAACGTGAAGAATCTATTGTTCGGAAATTTGGCGACTATTTGGGGTGAGGATGATGCTGCGAGTAAATTGCACCAATTTTACGAGTCCAAACAGTTTGAAACGGATCTCGTGGCAGTAGCAGGGGCTAGCGATGTGCTAAAGCCACTGCGCAAGTATTTTTCATTACTGGCCATCACAGATCGTCCACGCTTTGTGGAGAAACAGACTCGCGAATGGTTGGACCATCACTATCCAGGAGTTTTTGATAAGCTTGTGTTTGTAGATGAAGATCATTCCGAGCACTTCGTAGCACGCAAAAAGGAAGTATACGACGAATTGAAAGCCAAGATTGTAGTGGGATCTGACGCGGACATGCTGGTGAAGGCTGCCGTGGACGTTGAACATGTTGTCATGATTGGATCAGTCCCAAAGGCAGAGAAAGCGAAGAAGTTTTCTGCAAGCGTGACTCAAGTTGCCGATTGGTTTGCAGCTCAAAACGTGCTCGATCAGGTTATCAAGGATCTCAAGATCCAACCGTCCGAGAAGGTATTTGCTGGCCCCCGTCTTTCGCGATACACGGATGATCTAGTGACCGTATCGACACGAAAACCAGCAGGTACGACAATTTGTTTTCAATAGCTAAAATGGACACCAAATTCTAACGGTGGAGATGTATGCAGTTTTCTACGCTAACATCATCAATTCGAAGTTTACGGTACAAAAGCAGGAAAGTGTTCGACTACAAGCATCTGAGGCGGCAATCACGACAGCTGTACAAGCAGCTGAAATTCTGCGTAACCAGAACAATGCCACCACGACCAAAATTATGACTCGTTACGCGCTGAATCGGGCCAAAGAACGCGGCGGCTATCGCGTACCGAAAATCGAGCTGGTACTGCAACGCGTCGCGCGCGAAGCCTAACAAGAGATGAAATGTAGTCGAAATTGAACAAGAAACAGGCTGGTGATTTTAAAAATGACGTCCAACATAACGAAGTCAAACAAACAGAAATAGTGACGTTGATGAGTTTCTGCAAATTGACATCTTTCATTAGCTAATATCTGGTTGATGGGTATTTTTGACGCGCTTCATCCCGCCTTTGTCGACGCTCTGCCTCGTTTACCGTCACAATATCATCTGCAAGGCACGTGTACGTTGTACCATGTAAAGTTAAAAAGCTTTCATTTATTTGGTAAGTTATCGTACAGAATCCAGTTTTGACCATGAACGCCTCCATTGCTGCACCCGTCAAGAAGCAAATCGGTATCAGCTTCTTCAGAATCGGCTTAAGCGCCACTGTTGCTTGATGTCGCGGTGTCATCTAAAGAATTCCCAAAGCTTTAGGTGTTTCTCGGTTAAATACGAGAGTAAAAATATAACATTTTGACAGTCTATGAAAAGGAATACCGAGGCATTTGATCGGTTTTTGAATGCATATCAAGTTCCGCTTTGTCCTCTTTTCAGCCGTACGATGAATTCGTTGCTCCGCTTAACCAAGTCGCGCTTCGTGATGTCGGCGGTGCGCAACGTGCATATCGAGCGCAAGATTGAAGAATTGGGCTACACGCTGCCAGCTGTGGCTGAACCCAAAGGAAATTACCGCACTTCTGTGCGCTCTGGAAACACCATCTACCTTGCTGGCCACTTGCCACAGCCTGCAGGGGGCGACCTGATACTTGGGAAAATTGGCAAAGACCTGACGCCCGAGCAGGGCTACGATGCTGCTCATTACGTGGCTCTTAGCCTCATGGCCACCCTGAAACGTACGTTTGAATCAGACCAGATGGCGAACATAATACAATGCTAACGAAGTTTCTATGGTACTAATCAATGAACAGAGGAAGTTGGTGATCTTGACAAAATCAAGCGAATTGTAAAGCTTGTGGGCTTTGTTAACTGCGTGGAGGGCTTTACGCAGCAACCAGCGGTCATCAATGGCGCCTCGGACACTATTGGTAAGGTGTTTGGCGACAAGGGTATCCATGCCCGCTCAGCTGTAGGAACCAACGCTTTGCCCCTAAATGTGGCTGTCGAAGTAGAGGCCATCGTCGAGGTCGAGGACTAATCCGAAGCGGCACCATTAAGATTGTACATCTATACTCTCGCCTCTTCTAGACGGAAAACGAAAGTGTTCTCGGCAAAAGTGATAGGTTTAATGGTTGTGTTTTGCAATAAATCGATTCATCATTGCCAAAGAATCGATGCCCTGTTTGATCTCCTTGCCGACAAACTGCGTTTTATTACATTTTCCGAAACGTCAGGATTCAAAGAAATTCATTTAGAAACATTATGTTTACTCATTCTTCGTATCGTCTAGATGCAATTCCACTGTTTCGAGCGAGACCTCAAGCCCATCGTCTTGGTCGAGGTCCACAGCTTCATCTGGAGGCGACTGCTGCAAACTATGCGATTTACTGTATTTCTTACTAAATCCGACGGTCGTAGAAACTGTGCTTACGGCAGCTTTGAACTTGCGGCGCGCATTAAAGCGGCGCAACTCTTCCAGAGCACTTGTAAGTTGTACCGTGGCCACTTCCGTTCCTGTGACCCAGCGGTGTGTCAATAACTGATCAACCGTTGCACTGTCAAGAAAATGTTGTTAGCACCAAGTTAAGTGAAAAGTGTAACAGCAATGTACCAAACTTACCGCTTCTCCGGATTCACGACAAGCATCTGAGTGACTAGATCTTTGGCGTCATCGGAAACGTGATCCCAATACGGCGAATCGAATTGAAAGTGTCCTTTCTTAATTTTTTTAAAAAGCGCATTATGATTGTCATCGTGAAATGGCGGATAACCGCACAACAAGATATATGTGATAACACCAATGCTCCATATGTCCACGGTTTTGCCGTACGGCTTGCCTTCAAGAATTTCTGGTGCTACATATCCGGGCGTACCGCAGGCTGTCACGAGGCCATCATTGTCAATTTCAGTTCTCTTAGCGAAACCAAAGTCTGCCAGCTTTATGGAAGCATCGTCATCCTTGCTCGTCAGCAAAAGATTTTCCGGCTTCAAGTCGCGGTGTACAATGTTAGCATCATGGCAGTACTTAATAGCCTCAAGAAGCAGTTTAACAAGATCGCGAGCTTCCCTTTCGTTGTAAAACGACTGTTAATAAACAGATCATTGGTCAAACAAAAGAAGTCATACACAAATCGCGTAATATCCACCACATACCTTCTCTACAATACGGTCAAAGAGCTCACCACCCTCCATATATTCAGTCACCAAATAGTAAAACTTGTCTTCGACGAAAAAATCGTGCAGGATCATAATGTTTGGGTGATTCATCTATAGTACGTTAAAGTGACAGGCAGTTTGGGCATACAGCATCAAAATGAAAATGACCGAATCTCACCTGCTTAAGAATTGCTACTTCCGTCGTCAGCGCTTCAATGTCTTCCGCCACCAGTCCATCGCGTTTGATGCACTTAATGGCGTAGCGTTGTCCCGTAGGCTTGTGTACAGCAATTCGCACGACTGAGAAAGTGCCCGAGCCAATGACTTTACCCAGCGTGTACTGCTCTTCGAAGCTATTAGGATTTGTGGAGGCTGATGTTGCCTTACCGTTCGCAACGACGTGATTTACGCCCCTCCCTTCAACCTGGGCATTTCTGTCTACGACATTCTGAGCATAGGCACAAAAGACGAGAGCGTAAGTCTATAAATTTAAAGACCAGAGGCTAGTGGTAGAAGCTTACTGGCTTCGAGCTGACGCAGCCCATGTTGCCTCTTGTTGTGACAATTTAGTAAAAGGAGTCAGCTGAGTGCTGCTGTTGCTTTTGGTTGCGTTGTGATGTTGCCGCATCGCGTTGTAAAGCCAAAACGGAAATCATCAGATATAGATGACATAGTGTCTATTTAAGTTAATTTTAAAAGATCTACTTTTAAGAAACAAAAGTAAATTTGTCGCCCTATTCGAATTATGGCTCAAATTAGACAGATCAAACTAAAGAAAAAATGCGGCTTTAGGTACCTGGCGGAGCTTTCTATTAAGCTTGGGCTCCTCGTACGAAATACGATTGATAAGCCGACGTCTGCTTCGAAATGGGCTACATTGTTGCTCGAATGTCGGCAACGCGTAAAAATGCCTTAAATTCAAGACACTTTCTGCTCGGCCTGTCCGCTTGCCTAAGCCATAGTAGTCGCCCTACAGTCAACGTCACGCATCACCTTTATAAATTTAAAAGTAATGTGGTAGAGACAAACCCGTCGTAGCTTCGTGTTCAGCTTTGGCTCAATGTATGAAATGCTACTATCTCGCTGGCGCAATCGCCTTTTCAAACTTGTCTATCATGATTACTGAAGTTGGCCTGTCTTCAATGCAAAAGCGAAATATCCGGCACGGCTTACCTGTTCGCTCGTTTGGACCTGATTAAATGGAGGCCCACTGGATTGAGAGGTGAGTGTTACTGGACATCCTTTGAGCTCGTCGCTTTTGAAGTCAATTGGTATTGTATCCTTTCCTCCTTTATGGTGTTCGACCTTTTAATTAATGGATGCGTTAGTCACGAGAATGGACAACGACAGCATATGATATTTAGGATGTTTACGTCTTCGACCATCTCATTAGCCCGCACGGTCGCCTTTCGAGATTTTGCAAGCGCAAGTCTTGGGAAACGCTGTAACTCCTGATGATGTGAGCAGCGCGGTTAGCTAAGCTTAAACTATAACTATTTCATATGAACGTACTGAGCACTGCACCCCGTTGACTTCGCCACTCTGGATCGAAGAATGTTGTTTTCTCAGTTCAGAAGCCTTATTTTTGGACAATGGACGACTGTCTTCATCAGATGTTTCGATGCAACATTGTACAGCTTGGTGGTTCACTGCTTTGACAACACAAATCATATCAAAACCTTTGATAATATTACTTGCACGCAAACTTGCTTGCAATGGGTTTGCAGCTCGACTCCATCCACTGTATCACTACGAAATATTGTTATATAGAATATCATGCGCTGCTGCTACCGTTTCAGAGCTGACCTTTATTTGAAAAAGCGGTGCTATGCGCTACTCGCGCTTTAAATTTATTGTCAGCATGGCCACGAGGAAGAAAAGGATAAACGTGTTCACCTACTTTTTGAAAGTTCCTGTTTGACAGCAGTCTACATCAAAGAAGCAACTTGTCATGAGTGGACTTAGTCGGAGCAACACTTTAAAGAAGACTGACCAAAGCTTTTGCTAGCTCGCGATTCTTCTCCGAATAAATGTAAACTTTTTCTCGCAGCTGTTGCAGCTCATGCATGATACTAAGCACACTCGCCGTGCCGCTGTGCTGGGTCATACTAATGATTGTACGTCGTCAATAATCACTTTCTCAGCTCATTTTGCGTTAGTACTATACAGGTACTGGAAGTGCTATTATATCACGCTGCGGTGCCATAAAGTTCAAGAAATATACTCAATTTGCAACTGAAAGAAATTTAAATCTCTTCGAAGCAATAATGCATTGATTTGTGCAAAGGTAAGACATTGTGGATCTGATGTTTACAACTCATTTTTGAATTCACAGTTAATACTTTGATATTGCGATGCGCGAGTTTGTATGTTTGCTACAAATGATAAGTCGATAAGCCGTCCAAAAGTATCATTTATCTTCGTGTAGCTGGTGCCTGGACCGAGATGAATGTTTCATGTTGGTGCAGAATTATAGAGATGACATTTTCTCATGACATTAATATTGTACAAGCACGCTTGGATAAGTCGGTCACACCTTCTGGTATTACAATCGTAATGCTTAGTTCTGACGCAGTGCAGAAATTGATGAAGTTCACGTATGAGAGCGATTTGCTCTTTCTACGTACACAAATACTGCAAAATTATGCGCTTAAAAAAAGCTAGCTAGAATGCCGATAAATATCATACCCAATCTGCGCACTGGGTGGGATTTTTGGAAGGGGACTCCTGATTCGAATTCGAGTACGCTCCGAGGATTAGTGCAAGGTGTGAGTTTAAACTCCACGTGCAATTTTGCATATTGCCTAAAAAAGACAAAATAAGTGGGATCCTCATTATGTTCTACTTCTTGGTGCGGAGTGCGGCCAATTCACGAGGTCCTTAAGGGGTCTAGGGGTGCGGAATCTATCGGACATAGTCTTCAATCGACACATTTGTTCGAGTGTCACCAGAGCAGGTGTAGTCATCCCTGTTTTGAGCATAAGTACATTGTACCAATTCAACACTTCAATTGAGGACAAAGTGATTGTAGTTATCAAAATCCGGTAGTGCGTTTAATTTTTAGCTTCCGAACATTTTGGAACCAGAGTTCCCACAATTTGCCAAATAATTGCAATTCACTACAAAATTGAAGCACCACAGTAAATTTTGGAACATCATGAACTAGTTACTTTACATTACTTGTTTGAACGTTAGGGTCAGCTAAAATAACTTAATGTAGTTTGCTAAAACAGAGATAGATCGAGCGACTTGGTTCGCTAAAACACGCGCCATCTCAATGTCGGGACCCAACACGCTTGCGATATCGTAGTATCGTTCGATAGCAGCACAAATACCACTTTCACCACCTTTGCTGATCGATGGCAGCACATTCACCAGCTTGCGTCGTTTCACTGGTTCTGCAAAGCACGGAAGACTGATCTCTGCATTTGCAGACAGCGATTGCGCAAGTAGAGTCTTAATCACTGCAAACGCTGTGCTTGAATCAGATATAATCACTTTTTGAATGGTGGCATGGTTGTCGTGTCTTTCGGAAACCCAGAAGAACTGCCAATACCCAGTAAAGTCAGTCAACAGTGCCATCACTGGGTCATCAACGAGAACATCCAGCGCAATCATCTCCGGCAAGGCCTGGAAGACGGCGCCTCCTTTCACCTTCCTCTTCACTTCGATCAGCATCTTCACTTCAGGTAACAACTCTAAGTGGGTCGGGAACTGCTTTGCGAGATCGCTCAGTACGAGCATATCTGTGCGTCCAACGAGATCAACATCGTGACCAGGGATAGCAGCGCTGAGGAGATTCTTGTCTTTTTCCAAACCGAGTACGCAAAGCTGCTTTCTCGCAAGCACGTTGCCAATGCTGTCTTCCACGTACTCCTGGTATCTTTCGCGTTGTTCATTTTCAGTGAGCACAACTACTTGGCCACGCTCATCGCGCGAACTGGAGTTTGGTCTTCGGAAGCGAACGGAACCGAGCGTGCCGGCACCACACGAATATTCAGGTCTTGCAAAAGAGCGAGCTCCTTATTTGAGCTCATCTCTAAATGGACGTATCGCTTTCGCTTGGTCTGCACAATTTGCTCGTGAAATTCCTTGACCATTTGCGCTGTCGACAATGTCTCGTTTACAACACCAACTGCAGCTTCTGGCACTTTCACCAGCTCGTGGATCACCTCCTTTGTCGGCACCCTTGCAAACACGTCACCAACCTCATCTGCTGGGTCCATCTCTCTGGTCTCATACATAATCGTACTGATTCTAACGGGATTTTTTTTTGCTTTACGAGCTTCACGTCCGGGTTTCGCGACGGTAACCAGACTTTATCCGATGTGAGCCAATTCCTTGTTCGCAATGTAAAGCATCAGTTGGCCCGCATCGCACTTCATGACCGACGGCTTCTTCTCTCTAATCTTCTCCACTTTCTGATTGTAGTTCATATTCACCCCGAATTCGTTCCCATCTCTGACCACCACGTCAACAACGTCATTGCTTTTGGCTGGCAACTTGAAGAAACACATGAGCATTATTTAATCACTCCAAGATAATATTCTTCGATATATAGAAACTGAATAATAGTGAGTCATCTTGAGCGATACAAAATAGATGTATAG